TGGCTCGAATCGACGGATCAATGCGGCCCATTGAATCCACCGTCCGCAGCCAAAATGTTTGACTGCCAACCCTCCTGGCCGCCTCCCTGCGCACACGACCCACAACAGCAACCGGGCAAGGCACGTCAGTGGTGAACCCACCCATCCAAGTGTGAGCCAGGCTCAAGACCGGCTGAGCTTCCGGGATCCGACAAGACCGGTTTTGGTGTGTGTGTGGTGTGGTCGTAGCCATATCAAATATCCCATTACCCTCGCGCAGATAATGGGCTGGAGCGTTCGGCGTGAGTTATTATACGGACATGTATAATTTGCTATTGAAAAATCAGCCAGGCATATCGCTTCATCTTTTTTCTCACCCGACCCCTGTGCTCATTCGTGATCTGGCTCTCATCGCTTACCGGTTGATGTCTCTGCTGCTGCTGCTGTTGCGTGTGTGTGTGTGTTTACTGTTAATTGTTGGCAAGAAAATGAGATGGGATAGAACAAACACAAAATATCCTCACATCTCATAAAACGTCAACAGCGTCTTCCTGTACGTGAGAACCAAACAAGGAGGCAGGTGAGGGGCAATATTAATACAAAGCATCATGGCCATCAGCCATGATCAATACACTGGTGCATGAAGGCCACCTGCCACCTGCATGTAACAATCCACAGAGTACCAGCACGCAATTGCTGATTTCATCGCTCCATCTCCTCCCTGGACGTTCTCTTGGACGCGTTCCGTTCCTTCGCAGCAACACTCCCAGCGTTTAGTATTTTCAACCGTCGACCATCGTGCAGTAGCTTCTCTCAGCAGTTTGAATGATGTCTTTAAAGTGCGCGTGTGTGCGTGTCCTCCTCTCAACGTAATTCCAAACGTGCGCCGCTCCTCGCTTCTGTGTGCACTTTTCAGTTGATGTAAAACACAAATGGTTGAACTGCGGTGTGCGCATGAAAGAGGTGCAATTATAACATCGATTCATCGATGAACATCGATGTCTAACATCACGATAGACGCATCGCGCGTTCGAGAATACATTCTGAGATTGTGTTTTTAGTTTGCGTTGTGCACAATGGATTCACGTGACCCCCCCCCCCCCCCCCCCCTGGCCACTAAAGGCCGCTACATTTAACGCAATTTACAAAATCGATTCTTCAATCGAATTGCGAACCGCGTGTCACGATAATTATCGAATATTAGGGCGGGGGGAGGGGGTATAGGGGAGAGGTAGGGGAATTTTTGGTGTCCCACCAACACAATCTTCCCGCAATGGGCCCTGTTCCATCATGTTTAGTAAATAGGAGCGGTGGGGCATTGGTTACCGGCACTGTTGCTATGGACCAGGGCATCCAAGTTAAATCCCTGACCGTGGCTAAAATTAGTGGAAATTTACTTAATTAACCGATTATACCCCCCCCATCTCTGCTTGACCCCCCCCATGCTCCCCCACCTCCCTCTTCACCAACACACATTGACCAGCGTGGTGAAGTATGGTCGGACAACGCTCATGACCGACACGTGCGCAGCGGGAGTTCCTTCATCCAACAGTGGATCGATCAAGGGCTGTAGGATTATTGCCACTTATGAAATGGCACTACGAACGGACGCCTTTGACCATCTCAATTGCCGATGTCGAATCTGAGAAAATTTACATTGAGTTGATATTTCACGTTTGATCAGTCCTGCCTAGCAACCCTGAGATTCAGTCCGTACTCACGGCGCGTATCGAGCGAGATGAGGAGCTATTTGCCAGACAGTGGAGCTGTTTATCAGACGGGTAATCATAGACGAACGTCAATTTATAACAAACACACAAAATACTAGATATGCCGTGGGAATATATATGTTGTTGTGTAGAGATCATAAATATGTTACATCACAGTAATTATGGCATACGTCTTCTCAAGGGCTGTAGAATTATTACCACTTATGAAATATCAAGGGCGTATGCCCCCCCCCCCCCACCTCATACACGCAGGGCAAAGACAAATATCCCCTAATAGCCTATACAGGCTATTGGGCCAAGTGCTGCTCACGGTCACCGACTATTTTATCATTCCTTTTTTGTCTTCACGAGGGTCTTGCCAAGTTTGCGCGATGGTTGGCGTTGCATATTCCGACAGAGCAATTTCGTGCCACGGTATTAATCAGGGGCGGCCGCTGTTCTCGAACCGCGAACCTCCGCATCAAACGGCGATCCGCGCTACAGGCCGAGGCCGCAACAGCCACCACGAGGGAGGCCGCCCATGCTGACGGCACGGGGGGGGGGGGCGTGCAAGGTGGCACGGCACCATCACGCCTGGGGGCCTTTGTCTCAATTCAGGCCTAAGTCGACCAACGTGGAGGCCAAGGACAGGGCCGGGTCAGAAAATTATTAGTTACGAGTGGGAGGTAGGGGGAGGTAGGGAGGGGGGAGGGGGTTGATTTCCTTACAATTTCAATTGACATGGCAATGATTTTGAGAATGGAGCACACATCATAGACAGACTCTCGTGTTGGCATCGGTCACCTACACGGCACGCAAAGTGGTGGGTGGCCAGCACCACACTGCGTCTGCCTAGTGGTGATTTTACAAACACCGCACCAGGAACTCATTTGAGGCTGAGTCTACCTTGGGGAGGCACAGGACCGGTTCACATGATCGTCACTGGTGCTGGCCGTGAGCGGGAATCGAACCCGGGTCGCCGGGTTCGTAGCGCGGCACGCTAACCGCTACACTACCGCTCCACACAGACACACAGACACCCCCTCACACACACCCTCACAGACACCCCCTCACACACACCCTCACACATACCCACACACACTCTCACAGACACCATCAAACACACCATCACCCTCACACACAGCCACATATAACTACAGAGCCACACAAACCCACACACACCCTTGACTAATGTTACGTCAGACCGAGCGCATACTACCTCCATGAGTGTTCGTACAGAGGGCTCATTTATCACGCGTGGACCATTCGCTCAAGGAATTAAGTAAATCCCCAGCAGACCATTCTATCACCACCACCACAATCATACAAAGAAGGAAACAAGTATTTGATCCCCTGCTGATTTTGTACGTTTGCCCACTGACAAAGAAATGATCAGTCTATAATTTTAATGGTAGGTTTATTTGAACAGTGAGAGACAGAATTACAACAGCAAAATCCAGAAAAACGCAGGTCAAAAATGTTTATAAATTGATTTGCATTTTAATGAGGGAAATAAGTATTTGACCCCCTCTCAATCAGAAAGATTTATGGCTCCCAGGTGTCTTTTATACAGGTAACGAGCTGAGATTAGGAGCACACTCTGAAAGGGAGTGCTCCTAATCTCAGCGTGTTACCTGTATAAAAGACACCTGTCCACAGAATCAATCAATCAGATTCCAAACTCTCCACCATGGCCAAGACCAAAGAGCTCTCCAAGGATTTCAGGGACAAGATTGTAGACCTACACAAGGCTGGAATGGGCTACAAGACCATTGCCAAGCAGCTTGGTGAGAAGGTGACAACAGTTGGTGCGATTATTCGCAAACGGAAGAAACATAAAACAACTGTCAATCTCCCTCGGCCTGGGGCTCCATGCAAGATCTCACCTCATGGAGTTGCAATGATCATGAGAACGGTGAGGAATCAGCCCAGAACTACACGGGAGGATCTTGTCAATGATCTCAAGGCAGCTGGGACCATAGCCACCAAGAAAACAATTGGTAACACACTACGCCGTGAAGGACTGAAATCCTGCAGCGCCCGCAAGGTCCCCCTGCTCAAGAAAGCACATATACATGCCAGTCTGAAGTTTGCCAATGAACATCTGAATGATTCAGAGGACAACTTGGTGAAAGTGTTGTGGTCAGATGAGACCAAAATGGAGCTCTTTGGCATCAACTCAACTCGCCGTGTTTGGAAGAGGATGCTGCCTATGACCCCAAGAACACCATCCCCACCGTCAAACATGGAGGTGGAAACATTATGCTTTGGGGGTGTTTTTCTGCTAAGGGGACAGGACAACTTCACTGCATCAAAGGGACGATGGACGGGGCCATGTACCGTCAAATCTTGGGTGACAACCTCCTTCCCTCAGCCAGGGCATTGAAAATGGGTCGTGGATGGGTATTCCAGCATGACAATGACCCAAAACACACGGCCAAGGCAACAAAGGAGCGGCTCAAGAAGAAGCACATTAAGGTCCTGGAGTGGCATAGCCAGTCTCCAGACCTTAATCTCATAGAAAATCTGTGGAGGGAGCTGAAGGTTCGAGTTGCCAAACGTCAGACTCGAAACCTTAATGACTTGGAGAAGATCTGCAAAGAGAAGTGGGACAAATCCCTCCTGAGAAACGTCTGACCTCTGTGATTGCCAACAAGGGTCTTGCCACCAAGTACTAAGTCATGTTTTGCAGAGGGGTCAAATACTTGTTCCTCTCATTAAAATGCAAATCAATTTGTAACATTTTTGACATGCTTTTTTCTGGATTTTGTTGTTGTTATTCTGTCTCTCAATGTTCAAATAAACCTACCATTAAAATTATAGACTGATCATTTATTTGTCAGTGGGCAAACGTACAAAATCAGCAGGGTATCAAATACTTTTTTTCCCTCACTGTAATTGCCGTTGTCATCACGATCACTATATTAGCCATGATCATCAGCACATCATCGCTATCACCACCACCGTCATTATCAACGCCATCACTATCATCAGAAACAACATTATCATTATCACTACTACCACCACCACCGTCATCATCACCACCGCCACAATCACTTTCATTATGTACGTTGAACTTCTTTCGCACCGTACGTAGCTAACCGCGCTAATCGTAGTTTTGGGGGAAGGACGACAACTATCACAAACATCATTATCACTATCACCAACATCATCATCATCATTATCACCATCATCATCACTATCATCATCATCACCACCACCACCACCAACATCATCACTATCACCACCACCGTCAACTCATCACCACCACCAACATGACCACCACCACCAATCATCCCCACCACCGTCATCGCTATCACGCTTCGACAGACGCCGCGTGCGTGATGATCGCTGGCAGAGCGCGTGACGCGTGAAGTGCTCCTGCGCATTCAAAGTGCCCCCCCCCCCGCACCTTGCAGTGAACGGCGCGCCATAACGACGGGTTATAGAGGAGCCCTCTGGCGCCAGGTGAGAAGAGGTAAGTTGGTCCGTGTAAGCAGCCTTTGTAGGGGAGACGCAACTCCCAGCGCGGCCCCTGGGCGATGCGGCCTCAAACCCGCACGGCTCCGCTCGGGACAAAACAGAGATTGACGATCCATGTCCCTCCAGTCGCGTTCTTCCGTCTTCAGCGAGAGGCGCGCGTCGCTAAGTCGTCTGTCCCGATGGAGCGCGCGCTCAGCTCGCACCACCAAGAGGAGCGGCGGCAGCATCGGCAGCAGCATCGGCAGCAGCAGCAGCGGCGGCGCGCAGATGCGCAGTGAGACTACGCACGGCCCCCGCAAGTTTGTCTGTTTGGTCCACTGCTGCCGCTGCTGATAATCACTGCTTGTCTTACTTCTGTTGCTGCTCATTCTACGACTGCTGCTGTTTCAACTGCTGTCCCGTCGCGACTGCTGCTGCTGCTGCGACTGCTGCTGCTGCTGCTTAAGAGGACATGACGGACGTGAACGCGAGCGCAGGCGCGTGCGTCGCGGAGCGCATGAACGCGTCCGGCGGCGGCAACGACTCGGGCAGCGAGGCGGCTGCCGCCCCCGTGGAGGCGAGCACCGTGGTGCTCTCCTTCATCTACGCCGTCGTGTGCCTCGTTGGCCTCGTGGGCAACTCCATGGTCATCTACGTGATCCTGCGCTACGCCAAGATGAAGACGGCCACCAACATCTACATCCTCAACCTGGCCGTGGCCGACGAGCTCTTCATGCTCAGCGTGCCCTTCCTCGCCACGTCCACCGCTCTGCACCACTGGCCCTTCGGGCCCTCGCTGTGCCGCCTGGTCCTCAGCGTGGACGGCATCAACATGTTCACGAGCGTCTTCTGTCTCACGGTGCTCAGCGCCGACCGCTACGTGGCCGTGGTGCACCCTATCAAGGCGGCGCGCTACCGGCGACCGAGCGTGGCCAAGGCCATCAACGTGGCCGTGTGGGCCCTCTCCATGGTCGTCATCCTGCCCATCGTCGTGTACGCCGACACGCGGGTGAACAGCGACGGCACCGTGGTGTGCAACCTGCTGTGGCCTCGCAAGCAGTGGTCCGCCGTGTTCGTGTTCTACACCTTCACGGTGGGCTTCCTGCTGCCCGTCGTGGCCATCTGCCTCTGCTACGCGCTCATCATCGCCAAGATGCGCACCGTGGCGCTGCGCGCCGGCTGGCAACAGCGGCGGCGCTCCGAGCGCAAGATCACGCAGATGGTCATGATGGTGGTGACGGTGTTCGTCATCTGCTGGATGCCCTTCTACATCGTGCAGCTCATCAACGCGTTCGAGCGTCAGCCGGGCGACACCGTCAACCAGCTGGCGGTCATCCTGGGCTACGCCAACAGCTGCGCCAACCCGATCCTCTACGGATTCCTCTCGGACAACTTTAAGCGCTCGTTCCAGCGCGTGCTGTGCCTGCGCTGGCTGGACAGGGACGGCGTCGAGGAGCCCGTGGACTATTACACCACGGCCTTCAAGAGCGGCAGGGCCTACAGCCTCGAGGAGGACTTCATCCAGCTGGGACAGATGACGCTGAAAAACCTCAGTCGAAACGGGACGCTGGCGTCTCGCTCCACCACGCTGCGGTGAGACTGTCGGCTCCGTCGAGGGTCCCAAAAAGTTATATGCCGATGTCGCTGCCGCTTACTGTGAAAGGCTCTTTCGTGTATCTGGCGATAATTGCTTCGTGTCGTTTTAAACCCTTGATTGCATTGTTCACTCACACGGGTCGTTCGCCACAATGGCACCTGCTCTTGTGTGTGTACGTGTGTACGTGTGCTTGCTGCCGTTGTGTGTTTTTATTTATGTATTCATGGAAAATGGTTCGAAGTGCTGTGAATTACGCACGTGCAATGGGAGCGCGTGGTCCGTTCATTGGCACTGAATAGGCACCCCTTAGATTTGGGGGTTTGAATTTAAGTTTCAGCCTCCAGGGGTTAAAGTGTGGATAGATTCAGCCCGGTCACCAATGATTGCAACGACACAGTCGTATTGTATTTGCATTGCACCTTGCATTGGCTTATTACAGCTAACTTTGCGTCACGGAACGATATGAGGTTAAGTTTTCTTCCTTCGTTTCCATTCCAGGTCTGAGGTTTAAAAATAGTTTCACTTCCGTGCAGACGAAGACACTATGGGTGCGCCCCCTTGCGTGCAGATCAAATAGGCAACATATATCGATCTCTGAAGGCGTTCCATTATACCTACTTCCGCGGGCCGTTCTCTTACACACGGGGTGAGGCACTGCTTACTGCGAGAGCTCCAAATGGGTTTCTTGGTCTCGCGACACGATGCTGATAGCACATTTAGACTAACACTGTGGGGGGGGAGACAAAATATATGTATTAGAACTTAAAATTACGAAAAATGCACTGAGAAAAAAATGTTTCATTTGAAACAGCTGAATTGTCCCAACCCCAACCACGTGTTAATGATCGCATACAACATTGACATTAATATGAATGCAAAATACTTACATTCCCACTGCTGTATCAGTCATAGGGATTGTTTGACCACACTTCATCACGCTGATCAGTACGGCTTCGTAAAGGGAGTAACCCAAGCATCAATTCAGATATCACTCTCCACTGATGTTAGCCCTGGCCAGGAATCCAACTCAGGTCGATGGGTTCCCAGACCAGTGTTCTAACTACTTCGCCACCATTCACAACCTACCGTTAATCGACAGCCCTCCCCATTCTGTGTAACAGTCGTGGGGGGTAGTTTGACTATACTTCACCGCGCTGGTAAATATGGGTTGGCAAAGTGGCAGCGGACTCAAGGGGCCCGCTTTAGACATCACTCGTCACTGAGGTGAGCCCTCGGGAATATAAAACCTTGGGTCGATGGGTTCAGAGTCAAGTGGTTCAATCACTGTGGCACCGCGGCTCGAATTAAGTTACTTTTGGAAGAATTAATCACAAGTAATGAAAAACGTTCACATTACAGGAGCAGAACGCGCACGTCCGTTGCACGTGACCACCCGTCTCATCCAGCCAGCCAAACATGTATTTTTTTTAATACATATCGGCGGTAGTATGAAACAACAAGGGACACGATCAGCACACGTGTGTGGCTGCCATCAACTACAATTTGGCGTTCTTCCCCCGCCCCGCCACTTACATCATCCCCCTCCCTCCACGCATAACAGTCGGGGTAATAATTCATCTTTACAAAGCGAGCGCCTGAAAGTCAGCCTCTTTGCACGAGGCTGGCGGCCACTTGCCGCGCGTAATTGCGGTGCAGCTAGCGGTATGCAAGCGCCGTCAATGAGCGACCTGCAAACCGCGCGCTTTGATCTTCACGGATAAAGAAACCCCCGTATAGCCTTATCATATTGCTGGGGCAAGTGCTGTTAGCGAGCACCTACGAAGGCCGGCACGGCACACAGAGCAGCCGCCATTCTATACTAAGCGGCGGTGACACCACAACGGCGCCCGTGCCAGGCCAGGTGCACTTTGAGGTGAAGTGTCGAAGGCTCGCTGACAGGAGGTCATGCGGTAGACCCAGGTGCAATGGCTTGACCGACTGAGATGACTGACGGATGCACCAGCTATGTCCCCTACTATGCCAACGGCACAAAGACAAAGACCCCCCTCCCCCCCGTATAGCTTTAGCAGACTGTTGGGGCACGTGCTCTTAGCGAGCACCTATGAAGGCCGGCACGGCACACGAAGGCGTGGATGGCCAGCACCGTGCCATCGGCACACACACACACAGATTGTGTTGCTTGTTCGTTTGAAACTTTGTCGCGCGTGGGAGTTATTGCGGTGTTAGTACCTGAGCAGCAACGGCGGCGTTAGAACATCGCGCAGTCGTGTTTGTCCTCTGTGTTGGACTGTGTTGGACTGTGTTGACAAATAAAAAGCGTGCTCCCCCCCCCTCCCAAACTCTCTCTTCTCACCATCGCTGTTGAAGTTACAGTTCCCAGCTCTCCATTCTTCCCCACTCCCATCGCCCCGCGCTCCAGAAGACGGAACGCGCGTGTGTGTGTGTAGCGGTGAGCGCTACGAACCTGGCGACCCGGGTTTGATTCCCGCTCACGGCCAACACCGCCAGTGACGATGATGTGAACCGGTCCTGGGCCTCCCCTAGGTCGACTCAGCCTCAAATGAGTACCCGGTGCGGTGTGTATACATTGCCGCTAGGGAGAGAAAGGCGGCCGGGCGTGGTGCTCACCCACCTACCCCCTCGTGTTCCGTGCCGGCCTTAATAGGTGCTCGCTAACAATACTTGCCCCAACAAGTCTGCGACAGGCTATACGGGGGGCGGGGGGTATCTTTGTCTTTGTATTCTGTGCATGTGCAGTGCCGGATTATCCTCGTAGCACAAGTAGCTGCACAAGTAGCTGCACAAGTAGCTGCAGATGTAGCTACACAAGTAGCTGCACATGTAGCTACACATGTAGCTGCACAAGTAGCTACACAGGTAGCTGCACATGTAGCTACACAAGTAGCTGCACAAGTAGCTACACAAGTAGCTACACAAGTAGCTGCACAAGTAGCTACACAAGTAGCTGCAGAAGTAGCTACACAGGTAGCTGCACATGTAGCTACACATGTAGCTGCACAAGTAGCTACACAGGTAGCTGCACATGTAGCTACACAAGTAGCTGCACATGTAGCTACACATATAGCTACACAAGTAGCTGCACCAGTAGCTACACAAGTAGCTAAATGCTTTCAAGCTGTCAATTCCGGTTGAGTGATTCTGCACTTGCTCTATTACTATAGTACTATACCGCCTTCAACTTTTATGAGCGACTGGGTGTTAAGGTGAGCGATCTGTCGTATTATCTGGCTGTATAAAAAATGAAAACATACAACTATTTTCCTACGCAAGTTAAAAATGTACGTGTTTTTAATATTAATGTTTTTTTGGTTTAGGGCCCCTTTATAACATGTGCTACAGGCCCCGCACTCGCTTCATCCGGCACCCTGTGTTTGTGCAGCACATAGGCGCGCAGAAAGCGTCGTGCAAGGTGGGCGGGGGTGGGGGTGGTGGGGGGATTAACGCAGCGCTTGGCGCGCCGTCGATAGATCTGTCTGGAGAGAGCGCGAACGAGACGCGTCCTCGGCAGCCCGCGCATCGCGAGGACGCCCGGGTGACGGTGACGGCGCCACAGGCCACGCATTCGTGATGAGGCTGCGAGTGGAATGGAAACCGTGGCAAGTGGTGGCCCTCGTGCTGCAAGACGCGAATAGGAAATGCTAAATTGTGGATACCGCTGCTAGAGATTTCGGTTATAATAATAATAATAATTTAATTTTATACAGCGTCATTCATGCAATTGCATCCCGCAACGCTGATAGAAATGGCAATAATTGATCATATACAAAAAAAAATAATACATCCCATTTGGTTGTTAACGTCATCGTCATAATCGAAAGCCATGATCAATCTACTGCTGGATGAATGCTTCCCCGCGCACGTCGTCACCATCCCCCGCAGACTTGTGATGCGACACACGCCACATCTCGGCTTTCCTGCACGCGACTTTGGTCCCATCGCTCCACCTCCACGTGGGCTGCCCTCTCGGGCGAGTTCGCTCCTGCATCGCCAGTCTCGACCATCACACAGTGTGCACCCCCCCCCCCCCACACACCCTCCCCCAACACATGGGGCCCTGGGCGGTCGATCCGATACGCCGTACCCTAAGGGATGGCTCTGTCCCCATCTAGCAAAGACGTGTTCTAACCGAAAGCCTAACTTTTATTAGCAGCCAATATGAGGTCTCGAAATCGTTTTTTTTGTTTACTGATGCATGTGTTCCTATTTGTGCAATACAGGCAGTGCCGGATTACCCTAGGATAAAAAGTAGCTACATATGCTACGGGCCCCGGACTTGCATGGGCTCCGCGCTAAATTATTTCAAGCTATCAATTCCGGTTCAGTGATTCTGCACTTGCTCTATTACTATAGTACTAGACTGCCTTCAACTTTTATGAACGACTGGGTGTTTTAGATTAGCGATGTGTCGTATAATTTGGCTGTATAGCAAATGAAAAAATACAATTACTTTACTATGCAAGCAAAAACATTTGCGTGTTAATATTTACGTGTTTTTGTAATTTAGGCCCCTTTATAACTTATGCTGCAGGCCCGCACTAGCTTAATCCGGCACTGAATACAGTGCATTATATATGGTTGGGCATTTTATTTGTTTTCCTGATTAAAAGAAGCATGGTGTGGTGTTTATCTCCGGCTTGCAGCAACTGTGCCAGTGACGGGGTCAGCCAAGCATACGACAGCCACGAATTTTCAATTTCGCACTAATTTTTAGCAACCCTAGAGATCTGAGATGCTGGGAATTTAATTCATAACCTTAGAACTGCAAGTATCGCGGACCAACAAAGCACCACAACCCTAGCGAGATAAGACTTTAATTACGAGTGCTTTCTCAATAGACTGCTGGATGACCACCTCCCCATGCCGTTTCGGTCATGAGGGGTAGTTTGGCCATACTTCACCACGCTGGGCAGTGCGGGTTTGATGATGAGACGGGACATATTCAGACATCGCTCGCCGCTGAGAATACAGAGGAGTGATGCAATCCACTACAGCTCTAACCATCCAAAATATGTATTTATACTGGAGGAATCCGATGAGCTATACAGATTTCTTTCCACATATCCAATACTGTACACCACAACTGCCATGAATGTCTGCGGGTCTCTTGTTAGTCTGGGACAGTTTGTGCGTGTCTGTGGGTCTCTTGTTAGTCTGGGGCAATCTGTGCGTGTCTGTGGGTCTCTTGTTAGTCTGGGGCAGTCTGTACGTGTCTGCGGGTCTCTTGTTAGTCTGGGGCAGTCTGTGCGTGTCTGTGGGTCTCTTGTTAGTCTGGGGCAGTCTGTGCGTGTCTGTGGGTCTCTTGTTAGTCTGGGGCAGTCTGTGCGTGTCTGTGGGTCTCTTGTTAGTCTGGGGCAGTCTGTGCGTGTCTGTGGGTCTCTTGTTAGTCTGGGGCAGTCTGTGCGTGTCTGTGGGTCTCTTGTTAGTCTGGGGCAATCTGTGCGTGTCTGTGGGTCTCTTGTTAGTCTGGGGCAGTCTGTGCGTGTCTGTGGGTCTCTTGTTAGTCTGGGGCAGTCTGTGCGTGTCGGTGGGTCTCTTGTTAGTCTGGGGCAGTTTGTGCGTGTCTGTGGGTCTCTTGTTAGTCTGAGGCAATCTGTGCGTGTCTGTGGGTCTCTTGTTAGTCTGGGGCAGTCTGTGCGTGTCTGTGGGTCTCTTGTTAGTCTGTGGCAGTCTGTGCGTGTCTGTGGGTCTCTTGTTAGTCTGGGGCAGTCTGTGCGTGTCTGTGGGTCTCTTGTTAGTCTGGGGCAGTCTGTGCGTGTCTATGGGACTCTTGTTAGTCTGGGGCAGTCTGTGCGTGTCTGTGGGTCTCTTGTTAGTCTGGGGCAGTCTGTGCGTGTCTGTGGGTCTCTTGTTAGTCTGGGGCAATCTGTGCATGTCTGTGGGTCTCTTGTTAGTCTGGGGCAATCTGTGCGTGTCTGTGGGTCTCTTGTTAGTCTGGGGCAGTCTGTGCGTGTCTGTGGGTCTCTTGTTAGTCTGGGGCAATCTGTGCGTGTCTGTGGGTATCTTGTTAGTCTGGGGCAGTCTGTGCGTTTCTGTGGGTCTCTTGTTAGTCTGGGGCAGTCTGTGCGTGTCCGTGGGTCTCTTGTTAGTTTGGGGCAGTTTGTGCGTGTCTGTGGGTCTCTTGTTAGTCTGGGGCAATCTGTGCGTGTCTGTGGGTATCTTCTTAGTCTGGGGCAGTCTGTGCGTTTCTGTGGGTCTCTTGTTAGTCTGGGGCAGTCTGTGCATGTCTGTGGGTCTCTTGTTAGTCTGGGGCAGTCTGTGCGTGTCTGTGGGTTTCGTGTTAGTCTGGGGCAGTTTGTGCGTGTCTGTTAGTCTGGGGCAAATTGTGCGTGTCTGTGGGTCTCTTGTTAGTCTGGGGCAGTCTGTGCGTGTCTGTGGGTCTCTTGTTAGTCTGAGGCAGTCTGTGCGTGTCTGTGGGTCTCTTGTTAGTCTGGGGCAGTCTGTGCGTGTCTGTGGGTCTCTTGTTAGTCTGGGGCACTCTGTGCGTGTCTGTGGGTCTCTTGTTTGTCTGGGGCAGTCTTTGCGTGTCTGTGGGTCTCTTGTTAGTCTGGGGCAGTCTGTGCGTGTCTGTGGGTCTCTTGTTAGTCTGGGGCAGTCTGTGCGTGTCTGTGGGTCTCTTGTTAGTCTGGGGCAGTCTGTGCGTGTCTGTGGGTCTCTTGTTAGTCTGGGGAGTCTGTGCGTGTCTGTGGGTCTCTTGTTAGTCTGGGGCAGTCTGTGCGTGTCTGTGGGTCTCTTGTTAGTCTGGAGCAGTCTGTGCGTGTCTGTAGGTCTCTTGTTAGTCTGGGGCAGTCTGTGCGTGTCTGTGGGTCTCTTGTTAGTCTGGGGCAGTCTGTGCATGTCTGTGGGTCTCTTGTTAGTCTGGGGCAGTCTGTGCGTGTCTGTGGGTCTCTTGTTAGTCTGGGGCACTCTGTGCGTGTCTGTGGGTCTCTTGTTTGTCTGGGGCAGTCTGTGCGTGTCTGTGGGTCTCTTGTTAGCCTGGGGCAGTCTGTGCGTGTCTGTGGGTCTCTTGTTAGTCTGGGGAGTCTGTGCGTGTCTGTGGGTCTCTTGTTAGTCTGGGGCAGTCTGTGCGTGTCTGTGGGTCTCTTGTTAGTCTGGGGCAGTCTGTGCGTGTCTGTGGGTCTCTTGTTAGTCTGGGGCACTCTGTGCGTGTCTGTGGGTCTCTTGTTTGTCTGGGGCAGTCTGTGCGTGTCTGTGGGTATCTTGTTAGTCTGGGGCCATCTGTGCGTGTCTGTGGGTCTCTTGTTAGTCTGGGGCAGTCTGTGCGTGTCCGTGGGTCTCTTGTTAGTTTGGGGCTGTCTGTGCGTGTCTGTGGGTCTCTTGTTAGTCTGGGGCAGTTTGTGCGTGTCTGTGGGTCTTTTGTTAGTCTGGGGCAGTCTGTGCGTGTCTGTGGGTCTCTTGTTAGTCTGGGGCAGTCTGTGCGTGTCTGTGGGTCTCTTGTTAGTCTGGGGCAGTCTGTGCGTGTCTGTGGGTCTCTTGTTAGTCTGGGGCACTCTGTGCGTGTCTGTGGGTCTCTTGTTTGTCTGGGGCAGTCTGTGCGTGTCTGTGGGTCTCTTGTTAGCCTGGGGCAGTCTGTGCGTGTCTGTGGGTCTCTTGTTAGTCTGGGGAGTCTGTGCGTGTCTGTGGGTCTCTTGTTAGTCTGGGGCAGTCTGTGCGTGTCTGTGGGTCTCTTGTTAGCCTGGGGCAGTCTGTGCGTGTCTGTGGGTCTCTTGTTAGTCTGGGGCAGTCTGTGCGTGTCTGTGGGTCTCTTGTTAGTCTGGGGCAGGCTGTGCGTGTCTGTGGGTCTCTTGTTAGTCTGGGGCACTCTGTGCGTGTCTGTGGGTCTCTTGTTTGTCTGGGGCAGTCTGTGCGTGTCTGTGGGTCTCTTGTTAGTCTTGGGCAATCTGTGCGTGTCTGTGGGTCTCTTGTTAGTCTGGGACAGTCTGTGCGTGTCTGTGGGTCTCTTGTTTGTCTGGGGCAGTCTGTGCGTGTCTGTGGGTCTCTTGTTAGTCTGGGGCAGTCTTTGCGTGTCTGTGGGTCTCTTGTTAGTCTGGGGCAGTCTGTGCGTGTCTGTGGGTCTCTTGTTAGTCTGGGGCAGTCTGTGCGTGTCTGTGGGTCTCTTGTTAGTCTGGGGCAGTTTGTGCGTGTCTGTGGGTCTCTTGTTAGTCTGGGGCAGGGGTCCCAAAAAAAGCCTGTGACTCTATAGGGACTGCTTTGTGATGCAATGTATGTTAAGTTGAATTGCAGCTAATTTGAGTTTTTTTTACCGAATTCGAGCAAAAAAAATGGCTCTTCTCATTATTGTTGGTTGCCGACCCCTGGTCTAGGGGTATATGTGTGAGTGGTATAAGTAAAACGATGAGCCCTCAATTCCTTCCACAACACCGTCACGGGGTTCAATCGTTCACTTCCCACCACGGCGTTCCGGCCCATTTCCACCACCGGACGTACAGCCCTCTCGTAGACCTGAAGCGGTCAGTATTAGACACACAGTCAAAGGGTTACCCAAAGCTTATTTACTACGTTGCACCGACAAACTACAGACATTATATCTAAAGAAACAATACAGTACGTCGCAAATCCGATCATCACACATCCGCCCTGACCGACTAACCGCCCACGTCCCCCCACCCCCAACGCGGTGTCTCTGCCACGGTGTCGAGCGTCACCCTCTGTTGACGTACACAAATCGGAACCCCTTTCCAGTTCGCAGCAGTCGATGGCAGCGTTCAGCTCGCGGTCTGCGCCGCTCGCTCACTGCTGAATCACAGGCAAGGCATCTATCTCATCTCCCGGGCGTGTGAGGCAGCACTTTATTCGTGTCCACTGACTCATTTGTACACAGGAACACGCGTGGTAAGTAAGTTCACACATTCGAGTCAATGCCACGTATCCACAATTGCGCCTCATTCCTCAGTGAGTCAGATACTGCGACGTTAAGCATTGCTAGAAAAATATGCATCGTGTGGTGGTAAATACTGCATAACCATCGCAAAATATATATATAATTTAAAAACATCGATCAATCATCACCAATATCTCTAGCAATAAGCACATTAATAGCATTGTATTGTGAACCCAGTATCGTAAATAATGTCTGCAGCAATTCATATCACATGCATATTCTATTTACAATATTACATAAACATGTACACTTTGGTTGTAAAATCCAATCATTTGCAAGACGCGTTTACTCAAGAATATCTGCATCAGTAAGCTTCATAATAATAATAATAACTAGTATAAGGTTAATTACACTGTAACGGAATTATGAGACGGAACCGCAACATTTTTCACAAGCAAACTGTGGCATTTTATAGTTGATAATAAAACGTACTGACAGGGAATATTGGAAGTACAATTTTAGCCTTTGACTTAACTTGCCAATATATTCCAGCTCTAAAAAGTCAGCACGTCAGTCCGACTGACACGTGACAAAAGCATTAGTGGGGGTTTCGCAACGTTAGCGAGTTGTTAACTACCTTGCCTGGTATACAGGAGGTTCATGGGTTCGATCCCGACCCAGACGCCTGCTGTATATTTGGAGCGTTCCGTGCTCTCCCCGCGGTCGCGTAGATTTTTCTCCGGGTCCTCCGGGTTTTCCCTCCACGTTTGGAAACACGAGTTTAGAGTATTCGGCGGCAATACATTTCAACGTGATAAGCCACTTCGTTGAGCTATCATTTGTGGCCAGGTCGCTTCTGTAGCTCAGTGGGCCTTACCTGGTAAAGTAAAAAAATATGTTTTTTTAATTTTGTTTTGGATTTAAAAGGCCATGTTACGAGACATCAGAAGTAGTTCTGCGCTATGTACTTCTGTGGGCTGCTCACTGACGCAGGGTGATTGCAACGATTCTGAAACTAGTTTTGAGTGGACACGTTGGCTTATATCATGACGCCGAGAGTGCAATTTGAACAGATAATTAGTAAAACAAATTAAATACATTTACACCATTTTATCACCATGTAAAATATTTCTGCAGCGCTCTCGTAATTCCGTTACTGTGGAGTTGGGCATATATAACTGCACGACCTGATACTTAACTTGATCATGACAAGTAACGTAGCAATTCGTTGAATGAAGAAAGTGTTTCATCAGTGTGTACTACCCTGCTGTGCCGCATAATTCAGAAACACCATGATCGCAAAATAAAACTGGGCAAAAAAAATGGATAGGACGCAACGAAGAGTGGCGAGATGCATGCTTGAAATTACTTTGGGAGACACGAAAAGCAACGCGTGGAGTAGAGAACATACGGAGGCAGGTTGGTTAATGGCACCATTCAAGGGACGATGTTGCCAGAAGGAATGATGGTCGACAAGTGATGGAGGGACTGCCAAGATATGGAAAGCATCCTAACTGGGGTGGTGGGGGGGGGGGGGAATCTTGATCAAGCGGTGGACTGACCATGACTGATGATGGTGTCGATCTTATAAGGTGCAGGCGAAAGCAACGCAATCTCGTCGCCGTCTCCGATTTGACACAAGAGCAGATTCCCCTGCTGAGTTTTGGCTGGCGACAGTGGCGGTTTGCAGCACCTCACTTCTCCGTCTTGCTGGCGGGGATCTTGGTGGCCTTGTGCTTCGCGGCACCGTGGCTCCTCTGCTTGTTGCAAAATCTCAGCAGAAGAACGAGCAGAACCGCGACGATCACCGTCACCAAGACGAGAGTGACCACCGCGATAATGGCCACGTTTTTCGAGGAGCCACCCGTGCCGCTGTCGCCACCGCGGGGATCGTAATCGTCGCCAGGGGCTGCGTCGCGATCGTCGCCCGTATTGCCGTGCTCATTCAGCCCCTTCACGCCGGTGCTAGTGTCGGCATCTTCGCCACCATCAGCGTCATCGTCGTCGTCTTCGTCGTCGTCTTCTTCGTCGTCGTCGTCGTCGACGAAAACCTTGCTGCCGTCGTTCCCGCCCGCGGTAGGTTTGCTCATCTCGAGCTCCTTGTGCTCAGCAGCGGCGCCGTCACCGCACGCGAACACGTCCGGGCTCCAGGCGAACCCTTCGACGCCTTTCGCTCGGCACGTGGCCATCCGCGGCTCCGGCGTCGCAGCACCGTCGGCGCACGTGACCGTGGCCGTCGAGCCGGGCGGCAGCTCCCTCGGCGACCTCGGCGCGACCCCGAACGGCGTCGCGTACTCGGCGCGGCCGGACCCGAGCACGTCCAGCGGCCCGCACATCCCGTCGTAGCGGTACTTGCACGCGTAGCCGACGTTCCGGTGGCTGGCGCATTCCCTCACCTTCCACTTGAGGCCGTCGGCCGCGTACACGCACAGCTCCTGCACGCACGAATGCCTGTCCAACTTGAACCAGTTGCTGAACCCCGTGGCCTGATCGCCGCTCTCCCACGCGAAGGCACGCTGCGGCAGCTTGACATCGGAGCACTGCTTCCTCTTCTTCCTCAGGCCGATCCACACGTTGGCGTGCGCCACCCCGCGCACGCTGCTCACCAGCCGCTCGAGCAGCGCAGCCTCGCCCTCGCTCTGCACCGTGGTCAGGTGGCCTCCGTTCGCCCGGCACCGCCGCTGCGAGGCCTCGAAACTGATGTTGGCGCCCGCGTGCACGCTGTAGCAGGCGTCGCCCGAGCACAGGGCCGCCTCGCGTGGGGGTTGCGCCAGGCAGAGGTGGCACGTCGCCAGGACCAGCCCGAGGACGATCGCGTCGACGGCCGCGGCGGCGGCGGCGAGAGCCATGGTCGACGAGCGAGTGACACCGCTGCTCCGGGCCATGGGAACTTAAGGGGAGCGCGCAGGGGGGGGGGGGGGTGGGAGCACCCTTCCTGTGCAATTACAACTGTGCCATCGTCTCTGCCTGCGTGCGTGCGCACGTGCGTCCGTGAGGGGGCCGCACCCCAGCGGAAAAGGGTTGCTGACATTTGTGCTCTCATTTCCCCCCCCCCCCCGGGCGCAGAGGCAATTGTTTGAGGCATGAAGTTGGTGTGCGTGTGTACGTGCGGATGTCTGTGTGTGCGTGTGTGTCTGTGTGTGTCGGTGCGGGAGTGCGGCGGTGAGCGCGCTGCGAACCCGGCGAGCCGCCTTCGATTTGCCGCTCATGGCCACCACCAGTGGACGGTTATTTGAAACCGGTTATTGGCCTCCCCTAGGTCGACTCAGATGGGTGTGAAAACATCGCTACTACTGTGGGGAGACAGCTGGGCGTGGTGCTGGCCACCCACCCCCTCGTGTGCCGTGTTAGCCTTCATCGGTCCTTGCTAACAGCACTTGCCCTAACAGTCTGCTAAGGCTATAAGGGGGATCTCTGTCTTGACTTTGACTTGGTGCTCACTAACAATTAAACTTGACTTAGCAGCACTTGCCGCCAACAGGCTACACGGCTGTGTATACCATCACCCGTACGTCATATGCAGTCAACTTGTATTTTCAGAGATCACGTTTTTGTCTCACAGCTGCAAGTCTAATGAATACCAGCAGAGTGTTACATGAACACATCTTCTGGTGTGCCGCTATGCTTTGCGATGTTCCCAAGACTGTGAAGGCGTCTCACCCGGCAAAGTATCTTTCGTCAAACGAGGTGTGATCGCTCTCCGACTCGTTCCGTGCGATTCCACGCTTCGCTCTGCACTATTCAGACCATTTTCTTTATATATTCTCTCTCGCTCAACGTCCAATTGTTTGATCGGGACGTCGTGGTTGCACAATGTGCCTCGACAGAAAACTTTTTTTTAAGCACAATGCTTGGCTTTTTTTATCAAGTCCTTATAAAAAAAAATATTCCCATACCTCCCTGTAAACATGCAGAGTTGGGCCAACGTTGGCATCTGGTTGAAACTGTTGGCATAACAATGGCTCAACGTTGGCCCAACGTTCGCCGTTTGTTTACTGGGCTGCTCCTGTCCCCGCCTCTCTTAAATAAATCTGATCCCAATCTGCCTTCAAAAAAATAGTCGTGCATGTCCACATTCTTGCATGTTGTTGTTTTTTTTTTACTAAAAACTAAAACTATTAAAACTATTTTTATTTTACCAGGTAAGTGCCCACTCTAAATATACTCTAAACGCATGTGGAGGGGAAAACCGGAGGACCCAGAGAAAAATCCTCGCGACCACGGGAATAGTAAATATGCAAACTCCAAATATACAGGCGTTAGGGTCGGGATTGAACCCACAACCTTCTGCAAACCAGGTGAAGTAGTTAACATCTCGCCACCACGGTGTCCCTCCAGCATTTATTTTTTGTTCAACGCAGAAACAAACAAAAAAACCGCACAAATTATAGGCATATTACAGGGCTTTGTTAAGGAAAGTTAGTGGGCAAAAGCGGGGGACACATCCCGCGGATGGCCGATGGACGATGCTGGCGATCGGAGGAGTTGCAGCCAAAGGAGAGAAAGTGTCCGAGAGGCGGGCGACACCCGCGGAGATGGAGCAATGAGATCAACTCGCGGTGCGCGCTGGAAGGAGATGGATCGTGGCATCACGGGACCGTTAGGGTTGGGTGTTTTGAGGTAAGGAAGCCTTCATCCAGCAGTGGATATAGCATGCTACATGGTGGTGAGAGCTCTCTTGGTGATAGCATGTCTTCTAGAAGGTTTATTCGCGGTTTTCAGGCCTAATAAAGGGTTAATAATACAACACAAACTATGGCGTGCTTTCGCGAACACCAAGCACGTCATTTCAAAACCTCTATCGTAATTTAATCAGCAATCAATGGCTTTAATCTATGAGTTACGACAATATACTGTCAACAATCATAATGGTATGAAACATACACATCCGTGGAAATCATAAAACATCATATATGGCATGAAGGCAGCATTACTTTTTGTTAATTTGTGATATGAAAAAAATTGGGATATGAAAATTTATGGCATTGTTCCAATTTTATCTTCAAAAAGAATGGGGGGAAATAATTAAATAACGGCTTCTCCAGCATCTTATTCACATTTTAGTCGGAATTTTTGTTGTATTATTCACAACCCGTTGTGTCAACATCTCCTTTCCAACGGCGTGTCAATAAATGGTCTTTGTTTGACCATACCTCACCACGCTGGTCAGTGCTGGCTCGTGATGAACTGGGCCCAGGACCCGTTCAGGCAAATTAAAGAGGAGTTATTGCAAACAGTGGATTAAAAATAACTCAAATGAACTGGTGAGTAGTCTAAAGCAAAGGCGAGCTTCTCAATGTTGTTTACGCTCGTTCGCTGTGTCTTCATCATCTCTCCTGCATTTTTAAACGCTGAGCTGCATTTTGTCTGTGATCCTTGCTTCCTGAGTAATTATCTCAAACACTAATTTTCTCTTGCGCCTCGAACGATACTGCATGGGAGGCGGTGGTGTAAGTAAGAGAGCGTGATGATGGTGGAACTTTACTCACCAATGATGTTAGTCTTAGCCGGGAATCATGCTCAGGTCAACGGATACTTAGCTACTGTGCCACCGCCCCCACAGGAAGTCAAACAATGGCAATTATATCTTGCTCATTACTTACGCAGGAAAGCCTCGCTGTGCCTCAAGACTTCTTTTAAAGGAGGGTCCTGCATTGGGGCTTTTTTGGCCAGCTTCATTGACGAATCTTTGGCACGTGGGAAGACCGCAGAGAACCCGGAGAAAACCGCATATGTGATGAGATCGGGCGCACCGTGGGGTGATTTGGTCGTAGCGTTTTCTAGCTTAATTCTCATGAGAATTAGAATGACTGTACTTTAACAAGTAAAAAACAGTGGAACGTTCACTTATCGTTAATACGGCAATTGGGCAATTTTACTCCAAAGCCGCCGTCCATGCGTTAATTATCATTACTTTGGAGGATAAACACGAGTCAATAATCTCGTCAGAGACTAAAAAAATACATTTGCTACAAACTTTCTTTCGTAAAAAGTCTTTCCGCCTTGCTCCTGCACATTTCTGGAATTCTCATGCCTCTTATCTACAGCTTAGTTCCCTCCCATCACTCCGCCCTCTCTCTACTCCACGATCTAAACCAAAACACCCCCACCCACCCCCCACTTGCACCTGTACCTAACTTGTCGCTGGCGCTTCTTGCTCTCACATTTGCACTGTGGTTTAAGTATTTAGTTTGCGTGCGCTTATTTTAGGACTGTCATATTCCACGGTTTGTTAAGTGTGGTGCAATATTCCTTAAGGACGCTGTCCTCGTTCTCTGCAATAATTATGGGTTTTTTTAAAAAATCTGTTGTTGTTGTTGCCCTCATGCACCATGCATCTCTCTTCTGAAATTGCCGGGCAACTGGATCATATGTGCAACAAATAAAATGAAATTAACCACAGGTGCATTCAAGTGACCACTAACGGCTGAACTAACAAGTTTAATGAACGCATTATTCACAGCCCTGTCGCATGCACTGCACGTTAATGGGTTCACACGTGACCCGCTGCAGCCACGCAATGCCGCTATACATTCACCAAACTAAATGTTAGAAAAAACAAAAAAATCTGCAATTGAAGTGCAAATGGCGAGGAATGCCAAGCGACATTCTCCGATTTACGTGGCCAGGATCTCATCTATCCAGGCTCTCACCTGCGCAATGATCTCCTCGCCTGTCGAGGCTCTCACGCGCTCAGCCTCTCAGATTGGCAGACAAGGCACTTCGATCTTTGGCTCCGCGCCTCCAAGTTCTCGATTGAACGTTGCGTTCGGTCTCGTGAAACATGCACGCACTATACATTTTTACAGAATATTATTCACAACAGTAATAATGGTGATGCAAAATTAATTGCCGGTGATTTATTATACGTCTGCAAAGTAACTGTCAAAACTGTGAAATTGCAGCAGGAACTCTTTGGTGAAATGCTAATTAAATGTCAAATGTAAAGAAATCACTTGTCAAAAAAAACACTTAACATTTTAAAGTCAAATATATATAAAAAATCATTAAATAAATAAATATAATGCTATTTCAAATTACATTCAGTAGTTATAACGGTGTGATCCCGGCTCGTGTCCAACTGTCCAATTGCAAGAGCTCTTTTTAGTCCATGAGGCCAGGCCAATGAAACCGTGCCCTTAAAAGGGAAAAAACTTACAAGTATAGAATAGGCAACGTTTTAAGCAATGGCCCTTTCCTCGGAGCACATACGTAGGGAGAGACCAGCAGGGAGACGGAGTGGATAATGAGAGGGTCGATACCGCGCTTAATTCGACGATCAGAAGTCAGAAGTTTTATTCCCCGAGTAAAGCTCGCTGAGCCAAGAGGCTCTCTCTGTTTTCCGAGGGTATGATTTGGCCTCCAGACATTAAATTATTCATTCCACAATTACAGTAAAAAAAAATAGAATAATAGCGATCATGTTGATTTTCACGCTTACACTTTAGTTATTTTAATATATTCGGTTTAAATTCTGACAAAAATAGGGTGGGGCTGATGAGAATTTCGTTTTAACGACGTGTCCTGATGAACAGTTGGCACGTGAATAGTCACCTATGGATCGCTATTTAGTAACAGACAAACCCTTGACACATTTCCCGTCACTACCACCAGAAGTGGAATACCTTCAGTGGCTCTAATTTATAAATGTGGTCAAAAACAATGAACGATGTGACAACCACTTGAAATGAGTGGGTTACCAACTCATCCAATATTATTGGCCGTGTACATAAATCTATTGCCAAAGGTGTGGTCCCAATATCTGCTTTAGCCCGTGGACTATTTCTCCAAATTGGGAACGACTTGGAATTTAACGATGCATCAATACATCGATGTATATCGATTATAATGGTCGACGACAACACCTCCACAGACTAGCATGTTCAAGAATAATTTTTATTTTATCCTGTACGATGATGTTGCCCGGCGGAAGCGAATTCGCCGCTCTTTGCAGAGGTTCACAATTCGACTCCGGTAGGCCACCCTGGTTAATACTGCGTGGGTAATAAGAATAATGCAATGCTTCACAGTGGACGTTAAACT